CGGGCGCGACACTGAGGGTTGCGATCCGTTGCCGGTCACGAAAAAAGACAAAAAAAGGGGGGCGGGGGAAAGAAAATAACTTTAGTGAAATTAATTCAAAATGGTACAATAATTACCAAAAAAAGGGTAATGTACATTAAATGGTACATATTAATTCAATATGGTACATATTATCTTCAACTACATTGAATATTTGAGCCAAATCTAAGGCATGACTCTTGGTATTAATAAATAGGCATGTGATTAGTGCCTACAGATTTGTTGATTCACGTGTAGTAACTAATTAGTTAAGCTTAAATTTTTTTTATCCTACAAATTTCAGCTGGGTTCTACCCCAGGGAATGGTAGACTGCATTTGTCACCAGCCGTATGCTGTATTAGCAAACCCAGGTGGATGTGCTGTCATGGTGAAGTAGAGCTTTCTTGTGAAGATGGGATCAGCAAACTTGGGAGTGATGTGGTCATTAAGGGAAGCTTGTACATTCCTCATCTACAACAATATTAGGGTGATAGTTACTTAATCACTGAATATGAGTAAAATAAAAACAATGGATTCATTTAAAAGCCCAGTCAGAATTTATAAAATATGTTATTTATAAATAGCATGCAACTAATTTCTCTAAAACCAATTATAAACTTTAAATTTTTAAATTTAATAATGTTCAAATTTAAGCTTGAAATATTGTTATTATATTTTTATCTTTTCTATGTAACGAGTAGTTTTAGTAAAAAGAAAAAGAAAAGGGGGTGATTGGGCTTCAGTGGGAATAGAAATTGTGGATAGTAAAATACAGATAATATTCAATGGAAAAATGAAACTAAGACAAATCATGTGTAGGTAGCAGAAATAGCTAACTTAACACAAGTTGACTTATTCAAATAAATAAGCTAGAATGTAAATTCCATGACAGGGCAGGTCTTTCTTTTGTCAATGTTTAAGTATAAATGCCTACAATGTACTTCATAACTACTTGCTAATGACTGAATATTAAATTTTCTGTGGAAAATTGAGTTTATTTAAAACTCATAGGGATATGTAAGAATTGATAAGGACAAATTAATCTTGAAAAAACAATGAATGGTAACATAATGATACTCATTAAAATAACTTTTAAAGCTGTACATATAAGATATTCCTTAAAAAAAGCTTTTTAATTATTAAAGCAGTAAGCCTCATATTCCAACCAAACTTGGAGGGGCTGCTGATACACTTCTTTTGATACTCTTTTGAAAAAATAAAGATTATTAAGGAAAAGACAACAAGGTACAGAAGAGTATATAGTATGATCTTTTATATAAGCCTTTGAGAAATGAACCTGGAGGAAGAAAAAATATTTATATATATATATATATATAGACACACACATGCACACACACATAATAATAGATATTATATATATAATATGTATATTTTCTGAAATATTTGCATTTTAAACCATGTTTATGTATTACTTTGGTTAAAAAAATATAAATTTGAAAAGAAAAAGAAAAACAGGACAAAGCAGACTATACTATTCAATATAAATTTTAGATCAATATTCTTCTAGAAGGCAATAAAGTGATTTTAGATTAATATTCTTCTAGAAGACAGTAAAGTGAAAGAGAGTCTGGTATATTTTTTAAGGAATATAAAGATAAGGGCTCAAGATATAAAAGAAAGCTCAATCCATTTCTTAACATGTCAAGCAAAATTTACCTGTATAGGTCATCCTTCTAAATTCCTAAATTCAACTGAAAGATGCAAACTGCTTTTATAGTGGCTTAAAACATTTCTTAAGTGGTTGTTTTCAAAGAATACCTTAGACATAATTTTTAAATGATACTTTTGAAATAGTTTTCGAAAAAAGTAATCTTAATGGCTTCTTTTAAGCTAGATAAATTAACTAGATTAACTTAGTCTTACAATTAAACAAAAATAATGTTCAATGTGTTTTTACCATGCTTATTGGTACTCTTCAAACACTGATGAAATATGTTATTTCAACATAAAAACAATATAAAATTATATTTGTGTGGAACATTACAATTCATGAATTATGTTCAGAAATGGTTTCATTATATTTTAAAAATTTAATTATAGGAATGAAAAATAAATTAAGCTGCAACATCAATGGATTTCTGAAGTAACTATTGTTACATAAAGTCTATAAGTCTATGCTTAGAATTACTAATGAATTTAAAGTTGTAAAAAAGTACTTGATAGAGATATACTTTGAGACAAAATTATTCCCAAGGAGAAGACATTTATTACAAAGGTGGAAATTTAACTCTGAAAAAAGCAACAAAAAGCAGAGAGGTGATATTATAGTTTAAAAAAATAAATAGGCTATACATATGTGTACAAGAGTGAGAAATAACTTTATTTTCTTCTTCTCACAACAACCCTGTGAGCTGACAGTGAAAGTGTATCTATTCCCAAATGAGATGAGGAAAACGGGGGCTGGGAGACAAACGGTAGCTTGTTCAAGGTCGCACCGCAAGTGGCAAAACTGAAACACATCCTCAAGTCTTCTGTCTATCAGGCTGTCTCCTCATTCTACATGTTATTAGATCCCTTTTTCTTCCACCTCTTTTGCTCCCTAAAAGTTCATTAATAAAGTACCCCAAGCTCTCTTTTCAATGACTCTTTTCTAGAAGCTGTCAAGCTAAAAGAAACAAAGCTATTTCTTTCAACTACTCATTTCAACAAATATTTACGGAGTATGTACGTCAAGGCAGGGAACTGAGGACATAATGTTCAACACAACATAGTCTCTCTGCCCATGATTCAGGCTAGTGAAAGGGTCAGATATTGAAAAATTATCATAATTCAACATAAATAAGTAACAAAGGTATTAAAAAATGTGGAACTAAAACTGCACAGTCCATACAGCATTTTAATTTTCAAGCGACTGTCATAAATTTTCTGAGTCTTACAAGAGCTCACATACTGTCCCTTTACTGATGAGGGAAATGAAACTAGAGAAAAGTTTGAGTCTTGCAAAGGAAGCCCCAAGTGTCTGTTAATTTAAAATATTTACTATTATTTTGTGGAAAAGCAAAATGTTTCTGGTTATTAATAAAACTAAGTTCAGTGACTGCAGCTGTTAATTCTCAATTATAAAGGGACCAGTTATCCAGGCTATTTGTTTCTCTTTTTATCCCTTTATGCTGCTCAGCTTTAATTATTACTTTTATCTAAAAAGTAAGGAACATGGTAGTGGTAGCAGTAAGATTCAGCTCCACTGACTTTACTAGTTCCTAACAGATGTGGTAGCAAGCTTGAAAAGTGAAAAAGGTGACTGTTAATAATATAGGCAAGGAGGCTGGAGTAACAAAAAGTACCTGATCTTTCCGGCTGTTTTATCTATAGATTGTCTTATCTTCTTAGAGAACTGAAAGACAGATGATAGCAGCAGATTATCTCCCATGACCTGAAACATCCAAAGAAAAAAGTCGATTAAGATATTACCACTGTATTATATAAGTACGCAGAACACTACTCACAACACAATATACTTAGGGACATTTAGTATTTACGCTAATTTTAATTAAAAAAAAAATGAAGAATGTAATAGGAATAATGTGTAATTAAATTGAAAAAGAGAAAGAAACACTACTAATGACAGTTCCTTTGTTAAATAATATGTCAAGTTTCTATATTATTTTGGTCATACCACATTCAAAAACCAATCCATTTTATCCTACCTTCAATTATTATCATGACTCATACTTCCAATTCAAACAATCACAAAAAGGATGACATAAACAACAGGACGAAATTTATTATTTATTCTTCCACGAGGGTACTTCAAAAAGAAGTGGAAAAATAGAATTAAAATATAATACAAATCTTTCCACAACTTTTTGAAGAACTCTTGTATGAATACAGAAATCAAGAAGGGTACAATCCTTGCTCTCCAGGACAGAGTCCAGTGGGAAAGATAAATATTTTTAAATTTACTGAAAATAATAAGTTTTTGTGATGGGGAGTAGTACCAGGCCAGCTGATATTCATGGGCAAAACCAAGGGTCAGCAAACCTTTGTAAAGAGCCAGATGGTGAAAATTTTAGGTCTTGAAGTCCATATGGTCTCTGCCACAACTCCTCAACTCTCCCACTGGGGAGTGAAAGCAGCCATAGATAATATGCAAATGAATGGGCATGGATGTGTTGCAATAAAACTTTATTTACAAAACAGGTGGCAGGCTGGACTTGGCCTGTGGGCTGTAGTTTGCCGAGCCCTGTGCTAAATCATGAAAGGCAAAGCTAATGCAGTATGCTAGAAAAAGGGCTGCACTGAAATCTAGACGTAGGTTCCAAAATCAGCTCCATATAATGTCAGAACTGTTATTAGACTCTGAAAAAAACTAGAAAATAAGATATGGCCTTGGATGCTAAGAAGCTTTGAGGACAAGTGGGGGAGATAATAGTAATATACAGGAAATACTACTAAATATTTATAAGAAAGGATGTAAATAAGTGCTAAATTTTATGATTCGGTGCTGTAGGAATTCTAACGAAAGGTAGTCCAGTGAGGGGTAGCATAAATAGGGAAGTGCTTGTGGAAAATCTGGAACTTGAGAATGGCAAAGGTTTGAAATAATGGAGGATAAAGGTTTTTAGGGATGTGAAAAGCAACATAAAGGCAAAGAAAGGATAAATGGGCATAATGGTATTTCATGGGTCTTGCAGAAACAAGCCAACTAAGGGTGGAAAACATACAAATTAGGAATGAGCGAGAAAGGGCAGGATAGTCTAAGGAAAGATAATAGAGAATAAGAATATCTCTCTCTTCTAACCCAACCAAATGTAGTTCACTGTCATGATATATTAAATACATTTCTGATATCAACCTTGACATAACTATCAATTTAGATGTGTCCATCCTCTTTAAAAACACAAACTTCTTTTACCTGGTTTTATTACATTTACAGGAATTTCTTCCTAGACCTCAGGACAGAATGATTATAGGTAAGCTTAGAGAATGGTAGCTTTTCCGATACAAAGAACAAATCAACTATCAGGCCAGGAAACAGAATGTTGCAAAACTATTTAGTTATAGTGCAATCGCAACTTTGGAGCTAGTTACATGCTTTTCCATCAGGTGGATCTTTTTCTACTCAGTACTATTACAAACATACTTATTCTTACATGCTAACTTTCAGATCCTGTTCCTTGAATCCAAGGATCCACAGATATCGACCTATGATCAATCCCTTATCAACTGTGCCTTTTTACATGCTTCCTCTATCATCCCCCTGAGCCTGGACCACCTTTGCGTGTTGTTCCTCCATTTACTCTTTCCTCGGTGCTGTTTGAAGTAACCATCCCTTGGCGAAGAAACTCCTTTACATCCATGAATTTTTCCCCAAACTCCTTCACTATTCTCCATTAACATAAACCGTTTCAATAAGCCTATCTTTCCTTGATTTCTCACTGCTACATTCATTTTTTAAAGACAGTTTAATAATTTTTATCTACATTGGTATGCAGGTACACAGGATTAATCGCAATTTTTGGTTCATAACATATTCACATTCTTGGTTCATAACATATATCACTGGTCCAACATAGACCACTTTTTCTTTCTTTCTCTTTAACATTGTAATAATGAATATGCCACCCAAAACAACAGCTAGGACCTATCAACAATCAATGTGGCAGAGTATCTATTATTCAAAAAATATTCACTCCTTCCATGTCTACCCCCACTGGAGGAAGATACTTCACTATCCTCTGCCTTTGGCCTTAGCCATGTGGCTTGCTTTGGCCAATGGAATATTGGTAGACATGACACAAGACAGGATTTTAAATGTGCTTGCAAGGTGGGGCTTGCTCTCTTGTGTTTCTGATATTACCACAACAAGAACAAGCCCTAGCTAGCTCTCTAGTCCAACCAATATGACACATGGAGCAAACCTGGATCCTATCTGCAACTTCTAATTGTCCAGCTGAGCACAGCTGAGGAGTACCACTTAGTGATAAAGAAATGCTTAATGCTCTCTACCACTGAGATTTTTGTGGTTGGTTGTTATGCAGAAAAAGCTCACTGATATATCTATCTCTATTCATATAGTTTTCTCCACTCCACCTTCTGCCTCACCCACCCAGGTAAACAAAATATCCTGAATTCCATTCAACATTCCCTTGCTTTCCTTTTTATATCATTTGTTAGATTTATTTCTGTCCTAAATATATATTTTGATTTTTTAAAAAATTTATGACAAAGAATCACATTACTTATAATCTTTTGGGACTTACTTTTTTCATTTAATGTTATATTGCTAAAATTCATCCATATTGTTGCATATTGCTGTAGTTTGTTTTGATTACTCTAGAATTGTTCAATTTGTGAATATACGAGTTTACATATTCACTTTTCTGGTGACAAACACTTAGCTTCCAAGTTTTTGTTACTGTCAACAATTCTACTATAAATATTCTTTTGCACGCTGTCAATGGGAAAGGGTTTCTCTTGTGCACATACAAGCAAAAGAACTGCTACATCATGTGGTATCTTTCTGTTTAACTTTAGGAGATAATGTCAAACTGTTTTCCAGAGTGACTGCAGTGATTTAACTTCCACCAGCAACCCATAAGAAAGCGTACGTATCCACATCTTCTCCAACACATAAGATTTAATACTTCTTAATTTGTTGCCAATTGAATGGTTATATTATAATCTGCTGTAGTCTTGAAATGCATTTCTTTGAACCCTCATAAATTTGAACATCTCTTTACAGTTTGTATGCCCTATGTATTTTCTCTTTAATGAAATGCTGTTCATGTCTTTTGCAGATTTTTCCTTCAAGTTGTTTTCATCTTCTTTATTGATTGGCAGGGGTTCTTTATATATTCTGTTCTAATCCTTTGTAGGCTGTATGTTTTGCAAAAATGTGTAACTTTTTTCACATTCCTGAAAGTATTTTTTGATAAACAAAAGTCCTTAATTTTAATATATGCAAGTTTATCAACCTTTTAAAGTGAAAACTTTTGGGGGGTTTTAAGAAATCATTTCCTACAACAATGTTAAAAGACATTTAATTTTTTATTAAAAGTTTTAGTTTTGCTTTTGCCATTTAAGAACACAATTAATTTGGAGTTATTTATTTGTATATAGTGTGATGTTGGGATGAAATTTCATTCTGTCTATAAGGATAACCACTTTTTTCCCAGCCCCATTTATTGAAAAGTTCCTCCTTTTCCCACTAAGGAACATGCCTCCTCTGCCATATGTTCAAGCTCATGGTTTACTTACTTCATCCCTGCTCCAGGTTCTCCGCCTTGTAATTGTTAAGTGATCAGGAGGTTCTGTTGGTTGAGGTCTTGGATCACCAGACCGACCATTGTTTCCTTCTGGTGTTTTAGAATGAACTAATGGAGGGATCTTTCGGAAGTTGAGACTTTCATCAAAAACACGATCAACCAACTAACAGGACAAAAACAAACCCTTATGAGAACAGAGTAATCTGGAAAAGTACAGATACTGGCATAATTTTTATGATTAGACAGATGTTATTCCATTCTCAAGTAATAATAGAAGCATGACATCTTCAATAAACCAATTATTCTTTCTCTTTATAAGCACTTCAAAGGTATTTCCTTTATAAAACAGATGTTCGCCTACATAGATTTTATTTTCAAAATCCAAAACATGTAACTATATTAAATTCGATTCTTCCATGGATAAGATTTTCTCCAAATGGAAAACAGACAGTAAATTGAAAAAACTGAATCATTATAGATGGACAATGAGTTCATTTTACTCACATTGCCTTACCAGTATAAATAATGTTTCTTTTTCTTTTAGTTTCCTATCTTGTTTTTTCCTTTTTTTCGTCCCCAAATCCAGGTGCCAAATTTCTTCACAAGATACATAAATTGCAAAGTCCAATTAAGTTTACAAAAGGAAAAATTTTTTTAAATCCACAAAATAAGTATTTTGGTCTTTGTCAAATAAACTTTTAACAATGCTACAGAAACTACATTTTCCAGTAAAAATGATATACTGCCATCTACAGTACAAATTACGAACATAGAATACTAAGTAACTCAGGTTTACTGAAGAGAAGATAAACTCTAGTACAATATTCTAAAATAAAACAAAAAGGAAATGGAAGTCGATTCAATGAAATGTTTGAGTAATTTTACTGGCTCTGAGTGAATGTATTATAATGTTAGGTAAAATTTAGTTAGAAAGCTGAGAAAATAATATCTTCATCATTTTAAATGTACCAGAATTGTGTATGTCTTGCCACCAAGAAGATACTTTTATTTTTCACCAATAAGGATTATTTTATATACAGTTACATTTGATCAATGTGGTAACAAAACTCTACACAGATTGATGAAATATCACTTATTAAATGAGACAACACATGAAGAAAAAAACAAACAAAAAAGTGACCATTAAAGAACTAAAGAATGAATGTGACAAAAAGCAACTGAAGAAAATATTATCAGTACAGTTTGCCAGAATTAAATTTGTCAAAAAGGCTAGCCATTTTTGGCTACTATTTAGAACATTATTTTATTAAGTTACTATTCATTTAAAAAGTAGAATCATCAATATCAGGGGCTGGCAAACCTTTCCTATAAAGGGACAGATAATAAATATTTCAGGCTTTGCAGCCATATAGTCTCTGCCTCAACTACTTGGGTCCTGCCACTGTGGTACACAAAAAGCCAGAGATGATAGTTACACAAATGAGTGTGGCTGTGTTCTAATAAAAGTTTATTACGGACACTGAAATTTGAATTTCGGACACTTTTCATGTCAGAAATTATTCTTCTTTTGATTTTTTTTTCAACCATTTAAAAATGTAAACCATTCCTAGCTTTTAGGTCATATAACAACAGGAAGTGAGGCCATCGTTTGCCAACCCCTGATCACAGAAATTCATTCTTTTAAATGCCAATCCTTTGCTTACATTTCTGCCCCAGATCAAAATAGCCAACATGGCCAGAGAGTACCATTAATTTTATATTACATGTGAAAGGCACTGTCTTGACAATATTATGTAAATGGTGACCCTGAAAGTATACTGTAGGACGCCCTGGTTTTAGATGGGTAATTCTGAATATTTGTTTTTTTGTGTGTATGTATATATACATATATGTATTTCAACTTTCAAAATATCCTGTGTGTGTGTGTGTGTGTGTGTGTATTCATAAACAGATTTAAAGTAGTGAAAACTGTAGAACTTTTCCCTGCTATCAGAGATATCTCCTAATTAACTAGCAATAAAAATACCTTTTCAATTGGAATATTTTCATAATCAAACTTTAAAGAACCTATACAATAATTTATCAAATTTTGGTTGCTTTTCAGATACTATTCATATTCACATTTCAAGTGAAAGTGAAGCTATGGACCAGGAATTAGCAGGCAAAGTACTTATTTTAAATGGTTTTCCAGCTTCATGTTAATAGTAGACCAAATGTTAGCCTTTACTAGTTCTTTTTTTTTTCAACTAGTTTTGTTACAAAAACATAAAAGAAATTTGTTAAGAGCAAAGATGGAAAATGCAGAGCTTCATGCAAACAGGGAGGGTGGATATAACTAAAATAAACTAAGAAAAAGCTAAAAGCAAAAGAAATAAAGAAAAGAAGAACCTTATGCATTTCTCCATGAAGATCTCCTACCTCTTCTCTAGTGTCTATGGCAGAGCCAGGGGTGGTGGCAGCAGTGCTTACTGTGGTACTAGGGGCAGTGCCTGATGAAGTCACTGAATCTATCTCTCCTGCTACATCGTTGATCTCCCGAGCAATAAGAGCAAGATCTTGGCTGATCCTGGTAATAATTTTAGAAAATAAGTTTAATCCCTTTTATATAACAGCTCTAGAAACAATCATTTATGACACAATCAGTTACATAAGTTCTGTATCTAATTAAAAACTTATATCCAAAACTTTTTGACTTCTTTGACGATGCTATTAACTGTTTTGAGACCCCAAAGTCTTAAATTTTAATTCCAAAAATTAATATTAATGAAATGAAATTCCAAATAACCTACAAGATATCACCTTGAAAAATATATTTAAACACCCATGAACACAGAGATATATCTTTAAAAATAGACTGTTAATGCTAATGCTTAGCATTAATATATCACACGGGTTCTTAAACCTAGAGGTGATGGACAAAATTCAAAGAGTCTCTGAACTTGGATGAGAAAAAACAATTATAATGTTATTTTCACTAACCTCTAACTGATGCTTAGCATTTCTTTCAATTATAAATATAGGTAATAAACCACAGTGGTATTAGCAATTCTAGTGTTTTTTGTCACCAACAGAAATCACGTTATAGTTGTTACTGGTATCTCAAAACATTATTATGGTCATCCCTACTTCAAAATTACTGCAGTCACTAAACCCACAACAATAATGTTTTATTTAATGTTAATAAAGAACCATATATTAATTTAAAATATTTTGATAACTGTATTTCAATATAATTGGATTTCTTTGTAACTCTAAGTACTTTACATTTATACACTTGGAAACATTCTGAGAAGGGTTCCATAAACTTAATAAGACAGCCAAGAAGTTAAGATCTATGACACAGCACTTTACACTATGTACAACACTTTCTTGTACATATTATGTCATTTGAGGCTCACAAAGTTCTTGCAAGGTAGGACTAATCTGATTTTATTAAGGAGGACACATTCTAAGTGCAGCTGAGTGGCTTGCTCATGACAACACAAGCTAGAAGTAGCTAAGGCAGGACCACATCCCAGGGTTAGTGCTCATTTCCATGAAGCCATTAAAGACATTTGTGTTTTCAGCCACATGAACCGAAGAACTAAAATAACTGTTACTAGTGATAATGAAAGGAGAAAACAGACATTTTTCTTTTACCTTTTTTTTAAAAGGGAGAGACTTCCAAAATTACATTAGTATTCCTGTGTTTCTCAAAAAATATTTCAACTCAATGAGACATGAAAGATTTCCAAGTTATGCATTTGCTGCACATAAACTCAATTTGGCTACCTTTACAGGGAAGGCTTTGGAATGACAGGATGTTCTTAAAAGTATATGTGAAAGCTTCTACAACTTCAAAATCCAAAGTAAGTACAAAGTAATATTTTTATGTGAGTTTGAAAGACTTTCAAAGAATGTAGTAATTGCATAAAAATTTAATAGATTTAAAAAGAGATGCTAAGTTGACACTCATGGATGAACAGGAGCAATTTACGGTCAATTAACCTATAAACTTTATAAAAAATGACAGATGGTTAATTTCTCTTTTGTTTACAAATACAGAAAGGTATGAAGAACACCAACAAATATTTACTAATCCTTTATTATGTGCCAGGCACTGTGCTAGGTCCTAAGGGCTACAACAGTGAAAAAGCAGACACTATTATAATATAATGAGTATATTATAAAGAATCGTTACATTCATCAACTCATTTAATTCTCACAACCACCCTGTAAGAGAGGTATTAATTGCCTTATTTTACAAATGAGGAAAATGAGGTTTAAAGGAAGTCATATGACATTTTTTGGCCAATGTCACAAATAGTAAGTGGCATAACTAGATTAATACCAACTATAAAAAGGTCTGAGGTAGCAAGTTTGACCTCTTGCTCTCTGGCAAACACTCTCTAGCCATGTGATGCCTCCCACCATGTTATGATGCAGCAATATGTAGCCCTTTGATCTTGTACTTCTCAGCCTTTGGAACCATGAGCCAAATAAACTTCTATTGTTTATAAATTACACGGTCTGTGGTATTCTGTTATGAAGCACAAAATGGACTAAGACAGGCAGTAAGCACCCAAAATGCATTCTTTTCATTTGAAAGTAAGTTGTGTATATGCCAGTTGTTTTAAGATAGGCAATTCCTATCTTAAAGCTGACTCAACAATACTCATATAGATCATTAATTTAAACACACATCGCTTAAAAATCTCAGCATCTACTAAAGCAAGTTAAAAAGCTTCTGCACAGCAAAGAAAACAGTCAACAGAGCAAAAAGACAGCCTACAGAATGGGAGAAAATATTTGCAAACTATACATCAGACAAGGGATTAATATCCAGAATATACAAGGAACTCAAACAAATTAACATAAAAAAGTAAATAACCTGATTAAAGAATGGGCAAAGGAACTGAACAGACATTTCTCAAAAGAGGATATGTAAATGACCAACAGGTACATGGAAAAATGCTCAACATTAGTAATCATGAGGGAAATGCAAATCAAAACCACACTGAGGGAGAGAAGGAGGGAGAGAAGGAGGGAGAGATGAAGGAAGGGCAGGAAGAACAATCACCATAATGCATTGAACTTTTAGAAGGAGAGGACAGAGCTGTGGTTACTATAGGTGGGAAAGGAAGAGGGAGAGGGGGACTAGCAAAAAATTGGTTAATGGACACAAGAAATGTATTTGGTAATGATGAGCATGCTAATTATCCTGATTTGATCATCACACGTTGTACATAGGTATTCATATTCAACTCTGTACCCCACAAATATGTGTAATCAATTATTTTTCAATTTAAAAAATTCTAAAAGGCAAACGAAATTATCAGGAAAAAACCCCAAAGTTATGGACATCTTCCAAATAGAAATAGGAGATTTATGATTAAATACAGAGCATGAATCTATTCATATGGTTGCTAAATGTAAGGTTTCAAATTAATATGTTTCTAGATTACACTTATTGGGATATTTTATAATCATGAACTTCTTTACACCTCTTGTATCTGTGCCTGTTCTTTAATCTCTAAGCCTACAACCCATTTCTATTCTCATTCTCTAGTCCTTTAAAATCTGCTACAGGCGGAAATTTTTAAATAACATAAACATTTTATTCGGGGTTTTGCAATCTATCTGCTTTCTTTGCAATAACAATAAAAATTGAAGCTTGTCAATTTGAAAACCTATTAGATTATTTTCACATTTAACTCCATTTTCCTTATTACAAAATTTGGATGAAACAACAATCCCAAAGAAATGAAACATAAATTAAGGGTTAAGTTCTGTACCAATCTGTTTCTGTTTCTTATAACAGAGTACCTGAAACTAAGTAATTTATAAAGAAATCTTACCTATTTATAAAGAAATTTAAAGAAAATTTATCTTAGAGATTTGGAGGCTGGGAAGTCCACAGTCCAGGTGACCCATCTAGTGAGGGACTTGTTTGTGGTGGTGGTGATTTTCCACAGGAACACACGGTGTCGGTGTCATGTGGCAAGAGAAATGAGCTGAGCAAGAGAGAGCTGACCTTCTCCCCTGCCCTCCTTATAAAGCCATGAAAACCACACCCATTGTTCCATGAATGGATCAATCCATTCAAAAGGGCACAGTCCTCACAATCGAATCACCTCTTAAAGGCCCCACCTTTCAAATACCACAATCAGATTTCCTACTCTCTTTGCACTGTTACAATGGGGGTCAAGATTCTATGAGTTCTGGGGGGATATTCAATCCACAGTAAATTCTAAAACATTAGTGCTAGTCTTCATATCTTCCTGAGTGACAGAGCCAATGATCTAATTTCAAAAATTTTGCAGAAATAAGTATGCATTATTTTTTTAAAAGGTGAGATAACATGAAGGATGTACTTTTAAGTCATGAAGTTTATGATTTTCTATGTAAACTATCTCAATAATAGCACTCTTCTTATTTAAATCAATTAAAAATATTTTCTTTTTCACTGAAGGATTGTATACTAGAAAAAATATATTAATTGTAGACTTTAGGTACATTGAAAGTTTACAGGAAATATTGAAAATTAGAGTCCTAGTGAAATGCATGCTCCATTAAACATGCATCTTTGCAAGTGCAATCTAATAATGGTAATAGAAACAAACTATCAGACTTTATTGATTTAAACTGCCAACATAAACACTCTTGGGTAATTAACTATAAAAAAACCTCCTTTATTTTTTTAATAACATATTAAGTTTCAAAAGTTCTTATATGTAACTGGCATTCCACAGGATACACATACAAACCACTAGAATAAAGTTTTCTTTGACATTATTGGAAAAAAGCAATTGATAGGGTATTAGTGAAGTATACTAGCTTTAGAATCCTAACACTGAAGCTGATGACAGCAAATCAAACCTCCAGTTACCTTAACATTGGATAAGAAATAATAACTAACTTTAATGATTTGACTTTTTAAAGAAATAATTTAGTCTAGCTTTTAAATGATAAGAGTGTTAAAATATAAAATTAGTTCAAGGAGAGACATTTAAGAGTCTTCCAGAAAAGCTTATGATTTCCATACTATGTAGAAGAGCTGTGCAAGAAAAAAAAAGTTGTATAAGAGGAAAATATCAGACATCTGCTGAAGGATACTCAGGAAAACCAGAAAAAGAAAATATAAGGACAAAAGACTATGATCAGCATAAATGTCAACTTGAATAAACACTGCACAATATAACAAGATACATTTGGGTTACTGAAATGAGCCTCATTCCTAGGTCTCAAAGCTTAAAAAGAAGAGAGGATGGAAAGAACAAAACCTTGTTTTTTCCCCTAATGGTCTTTATAACTGTTCTCTAAGGAACTTAAAAGACATGTAATAGATGATTCACAGAAAATATTTCAAACAATCAAATCTGATAACACCAATGTGTTTAAAAGACTATAAGACAATGTGTATACTCTTTTTGATTAATCTACAAGTTTTCATCCTTTTTCGTTTCCCAGGCACCAAGTTCTATCAATTTTTCCTGCACTGTGTTCTCTAATCTATTCTTCAAGCAAATGCTTATCATCTTTTCCATGTTCTCAACTGCTCATGAATGTATCAGTGCAACAAACTCC